AAAAAATATTAAAACATAAAAAAAAAGACATCAATCTCTTACAATCCCACCACTTCATCCAATGATGGTGGATTGTGACTGAGACCTGATAGCTGTTTCTCATCTACCACTCTGGTTCAGCAAGGTGTTCTAATGGCTTTGCTAACCCACTCTGCTGGAAATGTTGCAGAACTATATATCAACATGTATGGCTCTCTCCTAACCTGGCAGCCAGCGCCAGCAAGGCCTCAAAATGAATAAGCCTTCTCTTTGTGTGGACTGACCTTCCCACCCCAGTGTGCTGATCTATTAATCATGATTGCAAAATAGGGCAACAGTCCTTTAGTTCACAAAATTTGTTTACTGCAGATGCCCAAGCTCTCATGGTGTCTCATCTGTTTCCCAGGGTTGATCATTTGATAATATTTGTGGATTCCCCTTTACCCCTCCAGGTAGGAAGATCAGCTTCTGTCAGTCCCAAGGATCCTCACAAATTATTTTGCAAGCTTGTCCCCCTTCACTTTCTTTGACCGACACATCCCTGTTCTGTCTTTACTGTTGTTGCTGCCATGCTTATCTTGAGCTTCTGTCGATTGTCTCTGGACAGGAAATTATGGAGAGAGCGGAATGGATGCCTTCAAAGAGCTGGCTGCCCAGGAAGGCCTCTGCATCGCCCACTCGGACAAGATCTACAGCAATGCCGGCGAGAAGAGCTTTGACCGCCTTCTGCGCAAGCTCCGAGAGCGGCTCCCCAAGGCCAGGGTGGTGGTCTGCTTCTGCGAGGGCATGACGGTCCGAGGCCTCCTGAGTGCCATGCGGCGCCTTGGTGTGGTGGGGGAGTTCTTACTCATTGGCAGGTAAGTCCCCCCTCCCCTCTCTCTCACGTATTGTGGCACACAGAGGCTTGCACTCACAAACTGGACTTGTGGACCCCAGCAGGGGGTGCGAAGGGCTGAGTGTAAAGGCAGTTTTCCGGTCTCGTTATTTGCTTGACAGAAAGAGCAGAAGGGTAGGTGACAAGATGACGACATGATTTCAGAAGATGTAAGGCTCTCCGTTGTAGCACTCAGAAGTCAGGTGGTTTGCCAAGACAAGCATGTCCCTGGAGTTTTATTCTGGCCCTCTTACAGCAAGCACTTATGCCTTAATATTTCCTAATCATAGAAAAGTGAATTGTGTTATAATCAATGGAGGGCAACCATGGAGATGATCTACCTCTAGCTCCATCTGTATCATCTATGTAAAGATTAGAAGTTGGGAGGGTTGGCTGAAGCATGCGTTTGGAATCGTGTCTGCCACAACATGCACCCAGCTTTACCATTCACTGGAAGTAGAGCCCTCACAAGACTTTTGAGAAGAAGATATAATAAAGCCAAGGCCACATTGGGGTGAGATGAGCCCAATGGTGTAAAGTGTTATTTTGGCTTTTTTAACTGGATGTAGTTGTATAGAATCATTTCAAATAAAGACCAGAAAGAAAATATTTCAAGAAGGAACATTGAAAGGAGGGGTGCGGTTTCTTTTACTGTCAAGGATGTAAAAAGCATTGTTGAGGCGCTACACTAAATGAAGCATAAATAAAGTATTATGAGCACCAGGACAAGTGACACTCTGAGATTTGGTCCTTTTAACTGCTTTGGTTAATGACCGCTTTTATGAACGGTACTTATTTTAAAATGCTCTCATGGTTACAGTTTGCAAAAATCAACAATAGTCTGTTTTGCAGCATTCATTCACTTTATTATTCCCAAAGAGGCTATCTTCCTGGGTCTGGAGATCAGGAACAGATGTGGCAAATATGTGAGCTTTGGTGCTAGACCCCCTGATTGTAAAAATACAACTATAATAATAAAAGCATACTGCAGTAAGTCATTGGTGTATCAGAACTCATCCTACCATCATTATTTAAAATTTGGACAAAGATGGTAATGTATACTTAAGCTTCTCTGATTCTTGTTTACCCGTACATAATGTAATGTATATGCAAATATTTCTAGGTGCCTCATATGTGCTTGCTTCTTAAGAAGTCAGACACACGTGGCGTTTCTTCTCTCTTCTCTGCTCTGCATTGCTGACCCTATTGATAGATCCCAGGGAACCAGCACAGTGAATGTCTAAGTTTCTGAGAACATTGCTCAGATTCAGCCATCACTGCCACTCATGCATGGAGTCCAGGAGATGCCAAAGTTGTACCCAGTGAGTGCCATAGCACCTTCCCCTTTGAGATGATGTCCTGAAGAAGACTTGGTGTGGCATTACTTTGTCATCCCATGCTACAGTATTTTGGGGAAAGCAGCCTTTTAAATTCTTTGTTCACAGTTCTCCCTTCCTTCCCTGGGATGAAGATTTGAGGTTATAGGGAACTGAGTTGGGGACCAAGCCAAAGAAAAATCCCTTCACATAATTGATTCTCCCCCTTTTCATGAGATGAATGCTACCCCAAAGACCTGTAAGTCTCAGAGCTGATGAGTATTTTGATTTTACATTGATTTTTTTACATGGATTTTTTTAGGGCTATCATGCCGAAATACCACAAACTGAGTGGCGTACTAAAGTTAAAGCTACTGTTTCACTGTCGTATAGTTTTGGAGATCAGGTTGTTGGCTGTGTTGATTCCTCCCAAGCCCATGCCATTCTCCCGAGCTTCTGGTATCTCTGGGCGTACAGCTGCAGCGCCACAGGTTTGTCTCTGTGTCTTCTCTGCATTGTAAAGGTACCAGTATTGTAGAATTAGGATATTTTCTGTTTCAGTATGATCTTGGTTCCTTGCTCAATCTGCTCTTTTATATTTCAGAAGGGATTGGCTTAAGATACCCTCCACATTGCCACAAAACCCCAAACAAACCTGTCCTAGAAGTAAAGCCAGAATGCTCCTTAGAAGTGGGGGGATGGTGTGACTTTGTCTTATGTCCTTTGAAATCATCAGGAGAGACCAGTTCCTGGAAAAAGATCTCATGCTTGTTTAAGTAAAGAGACACGGAAGACAAGGACGAGTCCACAAGAAGGATGGACAGTGTGGCTGCTATGACAGGCTCAAGCATACCACCATTGTAAGGATGACACGGGACCAGGCAGGATTTTGCTCTGTTGTTATAGGGTCCCTGTGAGTTGGACCCAACCCCTCAGCACCTAACAATAACAACAGCAACATTCTCCCCTAACCTGCTAGGCACTCTGGTGGTGTAGGGGGTTGTTCCTTGGACTGCTAAGGGCAAACATAATAGTTCAAAACCATCAGCTGCTCTTCTGGAGAAAGATGAAGCTGTCTACTCCGGGAAAGAGTTACAGTCTCAGAAACCCATAGGGGCAGTCCTACCCTGTCCTTCAGGGTCATTATGAGTCAGAAGTGACTGATGGCAGTAAGTTGAGTGAGACACGAATACTTCCTAATTAGCATAGCAAAGAAAATCCATTCCTAAATGATAATATAACTACATCTATAGGTGTTATGATTTCCACACATATTTTAGGGAGTACACAGTTCAATCCATACCCTTCTGCTCAAAGCGTAACTCTAAAATAACTCCCTTGTTCTCTAGTTAAAAGGCAAAGTTCTGATAATGGCTTTTAAAGTCCCGTATTCTATCATGGGGTTGAATTGCTTATAACGGAATAATATGCTATAAGGGTAAAGTAATAGAATTTTAAAAATGAACTTCTCAGAAGTAGTAGTAATTAATTTTTAAGACAATAACTGTATTTGATAAATGTGGGATAGTATAGAATAATACAAAACGTGGTGTAGCAATCCTAATTCTGCTACAAAGTAATCATGTGTGCCAGAGTAAGTTATTTTCCATCTCTGAGCCCAATTTTAAATAAAAATGATAGTTTCCTCCAGAAAATATAATACATTAATACAATATGAACTCCCATGGATGAGTAGGAACCGACTTGATGGTACCCAATAACAACAACATTATGTCCTAAATTATGATCAATAAGGAGTGCATTTATAGATTCATGTTTTTCTACGTCTATTCATTAATTTATACTGGTCAATTTGACTCTTCTCATCTATTTCTTTGTTAAAGCCAGAATTCATTGAACACAGCCCATTTTAGTCATTGACTAAAATGACCACAGGTCCTTATAGTCAGTAGACCCACAAGAGAATGAACTCTTTGACATTGAACAAATTGGCATAAAACTCTTAATAAGCTAATCATTATTTGTTCTTAAATGATTATTATCACAATCAAGGAAATAATCATGTCAAAACAAAACAAGAAAATAAACAGAAAGTATTTATTCCTGGCACTATGCATTGCCTTCCTTGAGATACCTTACAGAATTATGCTTACCTTATTAGTAATAATAATTATAATGATGATGGTGATTCTTTTTAGCACTTATTTTACTAGGCAATGTCCTAAACACTTTGGATTGGTGAATTCATTTAATAATCAGAATATGTTGTTACTTTTGGGTGGCTTAGAGCTAGCTCTAATTCATATAGACCCTGTGGATTATAGAATGACATCAATAATTTTTATGTTTGAACTTGTTTCTGCTACTGTATCAGTCCATCACGGTGAAGGTCTTCCTCTTTTTTGCTGACCCTCTGCAATAGGAGAGGGAGAAACATTGTTTCCACCTTCAAGTATGGAGAAGTAACTTTATTGTGTTAGAGAGATGTTGGTTTTAATCTTAGTTTTTTTCTCTCTATCAGATACTTAGTTCATTGTGTAGATGCAGCTTAGAAGAGGTATAAGTTTCCCCCAAAGGGTAAATTAGCTGAAGCATCTCCAGTGGGGAAATTATTTTAAATTTCTAATTATTCTCTATTCCCTTGCACATCACATTTTCTCCTAGTATTAATTTTATTTTATATGAGAATTTAATAAAGGATCTGTTGAACCTCTTTTATGAGCTCACTATTTTTATCCTAACACAATTTGTTAAGATCATTCTCCATTTCTACAACTATCTAGAGTTATAGAATTACATTTAGATAGAAACCAATAAAAATTGTAGTTCTCTACAATTTTAAGTTATATTTATTAATATTCTCATAATTTACTGATGAATTTTTTAAAAAATTATTTTATTTAAAGGAAGTGGGATGAGCATAGTTGATGTGCATGGGCGTATAATAATTGTTACTATTTATTGAGTATTTTGTGTATTCTAGGATATTATTGTATGTCATTTTTAGTTCTAATAACAATGCTGGGAAGGTAATTTATTACCCAATGTTCTTAAATTTATTAAGTGATGAGGACAAGATGAAAACTTATTACATCATACCATCATATACACATATGTAGTAAATTATAATTTCCTCAAGGGCAAGCTTTACTGTTATGTGCTTGTAAGTCAATTCCAACTCATTACAGCATCCCCTCCCCCCACTATATGACAAACTAGAACTGCCCCATAGGGCTTCCAGGGTGTGCGCTTTATAGAACCAGATCACTCGGTCTTTTCTCCCTGGGAGTCGCTGGTGGGTTCAAATAATGGAATAGCAGTCGAACATTTAACTGTTGTGCTGCAAGGGCTCTTTAAGGGTAGGTATCAGGTTATATATAGTTGTTTATGTCTCCATCATGCCCAGCACAGTGGTTTGACATGGGAGCTATTAAAAAACAAATCCAGAAAACTTGAAAAGGTATAATGAGAACAGTTAGCCTCACTGTGTGGTTCCTAATTACATATTTATAGCCTCTAACTCAACTCATTACCATTGTGTCAATTTTGACTCATCATGACCCTATAGGACAGGGTAGAACTGCCCCTGTGGGTTTCTGAGATATAGTAAGTCATAAGAGAAGAAAGCCTCATCATTCTCCTGAGGAGCAGTTGGTGGTTTTGAACTGGTAACCTCTCTGAGGTTAGCAGCCCAGCACACAACCAC